TTTTAATAAAGTTGTCGAAGTACAACTAATATATAGAGACCAATCTCTAAAAGTTTTATTTGGGAATCACAGAATTGCAATTTGGAGCATACACAGAAACCTGGATGGTCTTCGATATGTCTAAAGAGCAAAGAGAAGGTTGGGAGATTTATTAGAAAGAGAAATGTTATGTATTGTTTTGAAAGAAAACTCATTGGCACTAGTAAAGAAAGCTTTTGGGAGCGGTCGGGCTCTGATTGGTGAGTGACGGTGGTAGATAAAACTAGCCTTAGAGTCATAGCAGGTCGTTTCAGCAGTTACTAGGTAAGATTGGTCTTAGGGTTACAGCAGCTGGGCTTGTGGAAAATTTAGTTTTGGGAGCTGGCGGTATGCGCCACGAGTGTTTTTTCCTCCTAGCCCTTGTCTGGTTTAAATGGGTATGATAAGAATGACCCGGTTCATATAATCAACTTTCACAAAGTCAGAATAATGAAGAGTGTGAAATTCAGGACTATAAATAACATCTGGGATATAGGAAGTGATATGTGAGTGGATAGTGGTAAACCATCAATTTGAGATATGAGTAGAATCTGTCTATCTGTTCCCTTCTGTGTATGAAATATTTCATCAGCTGAGAAAAATTTTCAGGTAAAGACAGCAAAATGGAGCCAGATCATGGAATTTTCCCTCTCCTGCCTAAATGAGTAATAACAACAAAAATAGTGAAGACCAGCAAAAATTCATCAATAGCAAGAAAAGATAGAAAAGTGTAAACTTCATGTAGCAGCCAGAAGAAAAAAAAAAGAAGCAAATGATTTCCGGAAGGGTACTTAAGTCTCCTTCTCACCCTGTACTGAATCCTTACTGGGAAAAGAAAATGAGTGAACGAATTCCTGGTATTTCCTATCAATCTTGTGAAGGAGACCAGTTCTTAGGATATCAATTATGAAATTGTCTACATCTCCAGCAGAGTTCTCACCTTTTGTCCTCCTTGAATACATAGGCTTCAGGAGGTCAGATGGTACACTAGTACTCCACATCTCAAATTGTATCCAGGAGGGGAGGAACACGTGCACACACACACCCCCCACACACACACACTCATGCATGTATACACACACAGTAGGAAGGAATTCAAGGAGAATTCAGCTAAGTTCAGGTCAGAACTGACCCTGTTAAATGTGAGCAGAATGAAAAGAGAAAGCATGGCAATTGTACACACACACACCAGAAAACAAAAGCAGTGGGATACATAGCATGTAAAAAACTAATAAAGAACTCAGTTTCAAATTTTAAAAACAGTCAAAGAAAAAAGTCACCGTGAGTAATTCATGCTATAATAGAAATTGAATTCAGGCCGGGCACGGTGGCTTCCTATAATTCAAGCACTTTGGGAGGCTGAGGCTGTAGGATCGCTTGAGGCCAGGAGTTCAAGACCAGGCTGAGCAAGAGCAAGACCCTGTGTCTACAAAAAATAGAAAAATTTGCTGGGTGTGGTGACATGTGCCTGTAGTCTTAGATGCTTGGGAGGCTGAGGCCCTGCAGGGGGATTGCTTGAGTCCAGGAGTTTGAGGTTGCAGTGAGCTATGATGA